TCCCCCGTGGGGGTGAAGAGTCCTCTCGCGACAGACACATCGTGACTCTGCCGAGGAGGATCCTCGTCAACATCCGGAGCGACGAGCGTCTGGGATCAGAGCTCAGTGCGGCGCTGCAGCCTCACTGACGGGAGCTGCCCCGAGGGTAGGTGTCGGTGCACAGGTTGGAAACTCACGTCTTGGGACTGATTTTGCCTGTTGGTTTGTCATCCTTCCCCACGCCCCGCGTCTACGACTAGCACGGTTGGCTACGTACGGTGCGAAAGAAGTTGATTATATAACAAACATACGACGTGACGTAATTCCCAGTGACGTCACGCCCTCTGATCATTATTAAATATTGATCGTGCCACATTTCACACACCTCGGGCCCAATTGTCGGATTGTTTTCCCGCGATCGAACTCCCAAAAGTCGCAAATACAATCCCCTACCACCGCCGCCACCAACCCCCAGAGACATCCATGCCAGAGGCGGTATCGTTCACCGTTGAGGAGTTTCACTGCTGAGCTTGGAGCCCCGGTGCGAGATGCCCAGCGTGGCCAAGTTTGGTGCGGCCCTGCCGACAATAAGCAAACCCCCAAAACGTGGCGTGGAACGGCGCGGAGACACGCGCACAACTGCTGGTGTCCCCACTGGACGTGCCGCGAAGAAACGAAAAATAATCGAGAGACATTAGCTCATCGGATTCGTCGAGTAGAAGTAACGATGTCTGTTTGCTCTTTGGTTCTTTCGGTAAAGTCACGGAGGTAGAAAAAAATTAAATAAAACAAATAAATGTTGTTTTTTATTTTGGTTTATTTAACAAAATTTTTTATTTAGTTTTATTTAAAGTCACGTCGGTAGAAAAAAATTTTTGTTTCATTTAAAATATTTTTATTTAGTTTAATTTTTCTACTTACGTCACTTTAATAAACGCAATATAACAATTATTGAAATAAAAAGAAATACAAACACATTTATTTCGTTCATTTTGTTTTTTCTACCTAGGTGACTTTAAATAAAACTAAAATAAAAATTCTTAAAATAAAACCAGATAAAAAACACATGTATTTTTTTTTACGTGACTTTAAAATAAAACTAAATAAAGGTTATTGAAATAAAAATATTTCAAAAGACGCATTTATTTTGTTTTATTTTCTACCGACGTGACTTTAAATAAAACAAAATAAAATGTTTTTTTAATCAAACAAAATAAAAAACATTTATTTTTATTCATTTTATTTTTCACCTACGTGACTTTACCGAAAAAACCAACGAGTATCGATTCCAGCAGTCACGAAAGCTTCAAATCAAGATTCTGGAAAATGATGTGAAGAACACCAAATGTGGGTCTAAGAACCTCTTCAGAAGACGACAACGATCCTCCTCCACTTGCCAGGGCAGGATAACGACATCCCCGCCGGTAGCCTCCAGCGCCCTGGAGCGATGAATGAACCCTGTCGCTCACGAGTGATGATGATCGAACCCGTTCACCTCTGGGGTTCAATATGTAATAAAGGTCGTGGACGTGACTTCTGGAATCCGGTCTTATTTGTCTTTCGTTCACAACACTCCCATCTTACTCCTTCACGCTGCTGACAGACAGCGTGAGAGGGAGAGAGACACGTGCGGCCACGTGGCAGCCTGGACCACGTGGCAGCCTGGACCACGTGGCAGCCTGGACCCAGCTCCAGCGTGGCCTCACCCTCCGTTCGTTCCAGATCTGACCACGTGTTGTCCGTCTCCACCCCTTTTAATATCCGGGTCACGTGGTACCTTTCCACCAATCCTGGTTAACCTCTATGGAATCTTCTAGACTCCATAGTGCTCCCCGGACCACGCCCCTGACTTGTCCCCCCATTGGCTGTGGCTAAAGCCAGCAGAACCAATCCTCCACTTACAGATGTCACCTTCCCATTACGTCAGGGCCACGCCCCTAAACTTCTCCCCATTGGCTATGGGCCAGGACCGGCAGAGCCAATCATCGCACGAGGTGTAATCCAACAGCAACCCGGATATGTCCTCACATTACAAATATGTAGACGCAATTGCCCCGATTCGTCGATTTTAATGAACGCCCCGCGATCGGCTCAACCGAGGATGGAGGCGATTTCTCTCCGTCCTAATCCCGAGCAACGATTCGTCGATGCCTCTTTGAGAGACTCGTTGCCGCGCGCGCGGTGCGGGGGGAGCGGTGGTGCAGCGGTTAGCGTCGCCGCGGCCTCGAAATCCCCGGCGCGACCCCGAGGTTCGATTCCCCCTTGCTCACGGCGGACCGGAGATTATCCGAACCTCCCCTAGGTTGACTCGGCCCCAAATGATGCGTACAGAAAAAAAAATCGACGCTCGGGAGACAAAGGCGGCCGGGCGTGGTGCCGCTCGCTAGCAACAGCCACTTGCCCCGGCAGTCTGTGAAGGCTACACCGGGCGGGCTGTCCCCTTTGTCTTTGCGTGACAGCTGGCGCGTCTGTCAATCATTCCCCGGCAGTAACCCGCCCACAGCAGCCCCACACCTGGAGTCTGTCACGTGTGTGTGTGTTAGGGTGGTTTGTTGGTGTTAGTTGTGTGTGTTAGGTGTGTGTGTGTGTTAGGTGTGTGTGTGTTAGGGGTGTGTGTGTGTTAGAGTTGTGTGTGTGTGTTAGGGTGGTGTGTGTGTGTGTGTTAGGGTGGTTGTGTGTGTTAGGTGTGTGTGTGTGTTAGGTGTGTGTGTGTTAGGGGTGTGTGTGTGTTAGAGTTGTGTGTGTGTGTTAGGGTGGTGTGTGTGTGTGTGTTATGGTGTGTGTGTGTTAGGGGTGTGTGTGTGTTAGGGTGTGTGTGTGTTAGGGGTGGTGTGTGTGTTAGGGTGGTGTGTGTGTATTAGGGGTGTGTGTGTGTTAGGGTTGTGTGTGTGTTAGGGTTGTGTGTGTGTTAGGGTTGTGTGTGTGTTAGTGTGTGTGTGTGTGTGTGTTAGGGGTGTGTGTGTGTTAGGGTTATGTGTGTGTTAGGGTTGTGTGTGTGTTAGGGTTGTGTGTGTGTTAGGGTTGTGTGTGTGTTAGGGTTGTGTGTGTGTTAGGGTTGTGTGTGTGTTAGGATGTGTGTGTGGTTAGGGGTGTGTGTGTGTTAGGGTTATGTGTGTGTTAGGGTTGTGTGTGTGTTAGGTGTGTGTGTGTGTGTTAGGGTTGTGTGTGTGTTAGGGTTGTGTGTGTGTGTGTGTTAGGGTGGTGTGTGTTAGGGGTGTGTGTGTGTTATGGGTGTGTGTGTGTTATGGGTGTGTGTGTGTGTTAGGGTGTGTGTGTGTGTTAGGGTGTGTGTTAGGGTTGTGTGTGTGTTAGGGTTGTGTGTGTGTTAGGGTTGTGTGTGTGTTAGGGTGTGTGTGTGTGTTTAGGGTGGTGTGTGTGTGTGTGTTATGGTGTGTGTGTGTTAGGGGTGTGTGTGTGTTAGGGTGTGTGTGTGTTAGGGGTGTGTGTGTGTGTTAGGGTGGTTGTGTGTGTGTATTAGGGTGTGTGTGTGTTAGGGTTGTGTGTGTGTTAGGGTTGTGGTGTGTTAGGGTTTGTGTGTGTTAGTGTGTGTGTGTGTGTGTGTTAGGGGTGTGTGTGTGTTAGGGTTATGTGTGTGTTAGGGTTGTGTGTGTGTTAGGGTTGTGTGTGTGTTAGGGTTGTGTGTGTGTTAGGGTTGTGTGTTGTGTTAGGGTTGTGTGTGTGTTAGGGGTGTGTGTGTGTTAGGGTGTGTGTGTGTTAGGGTTATGTGTGTGTTAGGGTTGTGTGTGTGTTAGGGTTGTGTTGTGTGTGTGTGTTAGGGTGTGTGTGGTGTTAGGGGTGTGTGTGTGTGTTATGGGTGTGTGTGTGTTATGGGTGTGTGTGTGTGTTAGGGTGGTGTGTGTGTATTAGGGTGTGTGTTAGGGTTGTGTGTGTGTTAGGGTTGTGTGTGTGTTAGGGTTTGTGTGTGGTTAGGGTGTGTGTGTGTGTTAGGGGTGTGTGTGTGTTAGGGTTATGTGTGTGTTAGGGTTGTGTGTGTGTTAGGGTGTGTGTGTGTGTGTGTTAGGGTGTGTGTGTGTTAGGGTTGTGTGTTGTTAGGGTGTGTGTGTGTGTGTTAGGGTTGTGGTGTGTGTTAGGGTGTTGTGTGTTAGGGTGTGTGTGTGTGTGTTAGAGTTGTGTGTGTTAGGGGTGTATGTGTGTTAGGGTTGTGTGTGTTAGGGTTGTGTGTGTGTTAGGGTGTGTGTGTGTTGGGGGGGAGGGTGTGTGTTAGGGGTGTGTGTGTTAGGGGTGTGTGTGTGTTAGGGTGTGTGTGTGTTAGAGTTGTGTGTGTGTTAGGGTGTGTGTGTGTGTTAGGGGTGTGTGTGTGTGTGTTAGGTGTGTGTTAGTGTGTGTGTGTGTTAGGGTGTGTGTGTGTTAGGGTGTGTGTGTGTTAGGGTGTGTGTGTGTGTTAGGGGTGTGTGTGTGTATTAGGGTTGTGTGTGTGTTAGGGTTGTGTGTGTGTGTTAGGGTGTGTGTGTGTTAGGGTGTGTGTGTGTGTGTTAGGGGTGTGTGTGTATTAGGGTTGTGTGTGTGTTAGGGTTGTGTGTGTGTGTTAGGGTGTGTGTGTGTGTGTGTTAGGGTGTGTGTGTGTGTGTTAGGGGTGTGTGTGTGTGTGTTAGGTGTGTGTGTTAGGGTTGTGTGTGTGTTAGGGGTGTGTGTGTGTGTTAGGTGTGTGTGTGTGTTAGGGTGTGTGTGTGTGTATTAGGGTGTGTGTGTGTTAGGGTGTGTGTGTGTGTGTGTTAGGGTTGTGTGTGTGTTAGGGTGTGGTGTGTTAGGGTTGGGTGTGTGTGTTAGGGTGTGTGTGTGTTAGGGTGTGTGTGTGATGTGTTAGGGTGTGTGTGTGTGTAGGGTTGGTGTGTGTGTTAGGGTGTGTGTGTTAGGGTTGTGTGTGTGTGTTAGGGTTGTGTGTGTGTGTTAGGGTGTGTGTGTGTGTGTTAGGGTGGTGTGTGTTATGGTGTGTGTGTGTTAGGGTTGGGTGTGTGTATTAGGGTGTGTGTGTGATGTGTGTTAGGGGTGTGTGTGTGGTGTTTGTTAGGGTTGCGTGGGTTTGTGTGTGTGTGTGTGTTAGGGTTGTGTGTGTGTGTAGGGGTGTGTGTGTGTTAGGGGTTGTGTTGTGTGTGTTAGGGGTGTGTGTGTGTTAGGGTTGTGTGTGTGTTAGGGGTGTGTGTGTGTTAGGGGTGTGGTGTGTATGGTGTGTGTGTGTTGTTAGGGTGTGTTGTGTTAGGGGTGTGTGTGTGTTAGGGTGTGTGTGTGTTAGGGTGTGTGTGTGTTAGGGTGTGTGTGTGTTAGGGTGTGTGTGTGTTAGGGTGATGTGTGTGTGTTAGGGGTGTGCGTGTGTGTTAGGGTGTGTGTGTGTTAGGGTGTGTGTGTGTGTAGGGTGTATGTGTGTTAGGGTGTGTGTGTGTTAGGGTGTGTGTGTGTTAGGGTTGTGGGTGTTGGTTAGTGGTTGTGTAGTGTGTTAGGTTGTGTGTGTGTGTTAGGTTTTGTAGTGTGTGTTTTAGGGTGTGTGTGTGTGTGTTAGGGTGTGTGTGTGTGGTTAGGGGTGTGTGTGTTTGTGTTAGGGGTGTGTGTGTTCAGGTTGTGTGTGTGTGTTAGGGGTGTGTGTGTGTTAGGGGTGTTGGTGTGTGTTAGGGGTTTGTGTGTGTGTGTGTTAGGGTGTGTGTGTGTGTTAGGGTTGTGTGTGTGTGTTAGGGTGTGTGTGTGTGTTAGGGTTGTGTGTGTGTGTTAGGGTGTGTGTGTGTTAGGGGTGTGTGTGTGTGTTAGGGGTGTGTGTGTGTGTTAGAGTTGTGTGTGTGTTAGGGTTGTGTGTGTGTTAGGGTTGTGTGTGTGTTAGGGGTGTGTGTGTGTGTTAGGGTGTGTGTGTGTGTGTGTTAGAGTTGTGTGTGTGTTAATGGGGTGTGTGTAAGGGTTGTGTGTGTGTGAATCAGGACTCTGTGTATTAGGGTTGCGTGTGTGTGTATTATGGTTTGTGTGTGTGTGTGTTAGGGGTGTGTGTGTGTGTGTGCATTGGTTGCGTGTGTATTAGGGTTTGTGTGTGTTGAGGATTAAGTGCGTGTGTATGGGTTGACTGTGAGCACTTAGTGTGTGTGTGTACGAGTGCTCAGTGTGTGTATGGGTGCTGAGTTGTGTACGTTAGGGTTTAGAGAGTGCGTGATAACTGGATATGCGAGTGAGTGTGGGGAGCGGTGGTGCAGCGGTTAGCGCTACGCTGCGCTACGAACCCGACGACCCAAGTTCGATTCCCGCTCACGGCCAACACCAGTGACGATTATCTGAACCGGTCCTGGCTGGGCCTCCGCTAGGTCGACTCAGCCTCAAACGAGTACTTTGCGCGGTGTGTAAACATCGCCACTGGGGAGACAAAGGAGGCCGGGCGTGGTGCTGGCCACCCACCCCCTCGTGCGCCGTGGCGGCCTTCATAGGTGCTACTCGCTAACAGCACTTGCCCCATCAGTCTGTTACAGGCTACACGGGGGTCTTTGTATATATGGGTTTGAAGTGTGACAGGGGGTGTGTTAGATTACGTGAGACCCAACTGGATGTGTGTGTGTAACGTTCAGAGAGAGAGAGAGAGAGTGTGTGTACACGTGTGTGTGTGTTACAGATGAGAGTGTGTGTGTCACATTCAGAGAGAGAGAGTGTGTGTGTGAGTGTTCAGGGAGAGTGTGTGTGTGTGAGTGTTCAGGGAGAGTGTGTGTGTGTGTGTGAATGTTCAGGGATAGTGTGTGTGTGTGAATGTTCAGGGATAGTGTGTGTGGGTGAATGTTCAGGGAGAGTGTGTGTGTGTGTGTTCAGGGATAGTGTGTGTGTGTGTGAATGTTCAGGGAGAGTGTGTGTGTGTGAATGTTCAGGGAGAGTGTGTGTGTGTGAATGTTCAGGGAGAGTGTGTGTGTGTGAGTGTTCAGAGAGAGAGTGTATGTGAGTGTTCAGGGAGAGAGAATGTGTGTGTGTGAGTGTTCAGGGAAAGAGTGTGTGTGTGAGTGTTCAGGGAAAGAGTGTGTGTGTGTGTTCAGGGAAAGTGTGTGTGTGTGAGTGTTCAGGGAAAGGGTGTGTGTGTGAGTGTTCAGGGAAAGAGTGTGTGTGTGAGTGTTCAGGGAAAGAGTGTGTGTGTGAGTGTTCAGGGAAAGAGTGTGTGTGTGTGTTCAGGGAAAGTGTGTGTGTGTGAGTGTTCAGGGAAAGAGTGTGTGTGTGAGTGTTCAGGGAAAGAGTGTGTGTGTGAGTGTTCAGGGAAAGAGTGTGTGTGTGAGTGTTCAGGGAGAGAGTGCGTGTGTGTTCAGGGAAAGTGTGTGTGTGTGTGAGTGTTCAGGGAAAGAGAGTGTGTGTGAGTGTTCAGTGAGAGTGTGTGTGAGTGTTCAGGGAGAGAGTGTGTGTGTGTTCAGGGAGAGAGTGTGTGTGAGTGTTCAGTGAGAGTGTGTGTGAGTGTTCAGGGAGAGAGTGTGTGTGTGTTCAGGGAGAGTGTGTGTGTGAGTGTTCAGGGAGAGAGTGTGTGTGAGTGTTCAGGGAGAGAGTGTGTGTGTGTGTTCAGGGAGAGAGTGTGTGTGAGTGTTCAGGGAGAGAGTGTATGTGAGTGTTCAGGGAAAGTGTGTGTGTGTGAGTTCAGGAAGTGTGTGTGTGTGAGTGTTCAGAGAGAGAAAGTGTGTGTGTGAGTGAGAGAGTGTGTGTGTGTTCAGGGAAAGAGAGTGTGTGTGAGTGTTCAGGGAGAGAGTGTATGTGAGTGTTCAGGGAAAGAGAGTGTGTGTGTGTGTTCAGGGAGAGAGTGTGTGTGTGAGTGTTCAGGGAGAGAGTGTGTGTGTGTGTTCAGGGAGAGAGTGTGTGTGTGAGTGTTCAGGGAGAGAGTGTGTGTGAGTGTTCAGGGAGAGAGTGTGTGTTCAGGGAGAGAGTGTGAGTGTTCAGTGAGAGTGTGTGTGTGTGTTCAGGGAGAGAGTGTGTGTGAGTGTAGAGAGAGAGTGTGTTCAGAGTGTGTGTGTGTGTGTTCAGGGAGAGAGAGTGTGTGTATGTGTGAGTGTTCAGGGAGAGAGTGGTGTGTGTGAGTGTTCAGGGAGAGAGTGTGTGTGTGTGTTCAGGGAGAGAGTGGTGTGTGTGTGTGTTCAGGGAGAGAGTGTGTGTGAGTGTAGAGAGAGAGTGTGTTCAGAGTGTGTGTGTGTGTTCAGGGAGAGAGAGTGTGTGTATGTGTGAGTGTTCAGGGAGAGAGTGGTGTGTGTGAGTGTGTGAGTGTTTAACTACGACTAGAAAGCAACATCGGTGAGAACGAGAACGCGGTGGTGGTGGTGGTGGGGGGTGGCCGTGAGTTGTTGGTGGTGGTGGTGATGGGGGGAGTGAATTGGGGGAGGGCAGTGGTGGTGGTGGTGGCGAATTTGAGAGGTTGGGGGGGGAGGGAGAGAACAGAGAGGGAGGGGAGAGAGGCAGGGGAGGGGGAAGGCTTAGGGAATGCTTTTATCTGCGGCCAAAAAACCTCAGCAGCGAGAGAGAGAGAGAGCTTAGTGCTGGAGTGAAGAATACGAGAATACGAGAGAGCGAAGGGAGAGAGTGGCGACTCAACCACTGTTCTGTCCAGGCCACCACCACTCTCACCACCACCACCACGATCTGGTGATCACTACCACACCACCAGCATCATCATCACAGTACCAGGATCTGAATACCATCGGTACAATAACATAATCTCAGTGCTATCATCATCAACGACATCACAGCATTGTAATCATCTGAATAGCAGCATTGCAATACCGTCATCACAGGACCATCATCATCACATTAGCGTCATCATCAGAATACCATCGCCATCACCACTCACAGCACCACCATCATCATCATCACCACCGGATAGTGTGTTCATCGTCACGGTTACCATCATCTTCACTGCAACACAATCACATCTGCCGAGCGTATCATCATCATCGCCGTCGTCGCCATAGCGCCACCACCATCATCATCATCGCCGTTGCAGCAGCAGCATCATCACCATCATCATCACGATCATCACAATCATCACCATCATCATCACGATCATCACAATCATCACCATCATCATCACGATCATCACAATCATCACCATCATCATCACCACGACCAAGGAGGGGAGATGGATGGGGGCTGTCGGGTTACCATCGCGGGGCTGTGAGACGCCGGGATTCGGGTTGAGAATTACAACTTTTAGGGGCATCAACAACATCAACAACAACAACAACATCAACAACATCAACAAGTGACGACGGAACGTGGTGGACCCTCAATACATCCACAGTGTTGGGAGGAAAAGAACACAACGACAATGGGCAAGTTTCAGTCGAAACAGGGTAAGTGTTGGACGCGTGCTTGTCTGCGGCTGCCGATGATGGTTCTCTAATCACCCGTGGTGGTTGTGTCATGTTGTGTGTGAGTATCGTGTTGTGTGAGTGTCGTGTGTGAGTGTCGTGTTGTGTGTGTGAGTGTCGTGTTGTGTGTGAGTGTCGTGTTGTGTGTGTGTGTCGTGTTGTGTGTGAGTATCGTGTTGTGTGAGTGTCGTGTGTGAGTGTCGTGTTGTGTGAGTGTCGTGTGTGAGTGTCGTGTTGTGTGTGTGTCGTGTTGTGTGTGAGTGTCGTGTTGTGTGTGTGTGTCGTGATGTGTGTGAGTGTTGTGTTGTGTGTGTGTGTCGTGATGTGTGTGAGTGTTGTGTTGTGTGTGTGTGTCGTGATGTGTGTGAGTGTTGTGTTGTGTGTGTGTGTCGTGTGTGAGTGTGTGTCGTGTTGTGTGTGTGTGTCGTGTTGTGTGTGTGTGTCGTGATGTGTGTGAGTGTTGTGTTGTGAGTGTCGTGTTGTGTGGGTGTCGTGTTCTGTGTGAGTGTCGTGTTGTGTGTGAGTGTATTTTTAATGTCATTTTAACGGTGGGGAGCGGTGGCGCAGCGGTTAGCGCTACGCTGCGCTACGAACCCGGCGATCCGGGGTTCAATTCCCGCTCACGGCCAATACTGGACACGATTATCTGAACCGGTCCTGGGCCTCTCCTAGGTCGACTCAGCCTCAAACGAGTACCTGGTGCGGTGTGTAAAACATCGGCACTGGGGGAAACAAAGGCGGCCGAGCGTGAGTGCTGGCCACCCACCCCCTCGTGTGCCGTGCCGGCCTTCATAGGTGCTACTCGCTAACAGCACTTGCCCCAACAGTCTGTTGAGGCTACACGGGGGATCTTTGGTGTGTTGTACACGCTTTATGGATAGTGGGAACAAGCTGTGTTGGCGAGCACCTATTAAGGTCGGCACGGCGCACGTGGGCATGGTGCGTCCGGAATACCTCCCCGGCCGCCTTTGTCTTCCCAGTATTTGTGTAATTATTGGACGAGACACCACGTGTATGCATGTATGCAATAACAGGCACATCCAAAGCAATTGCCACTGCAACTTATACTCACAAAGGTACTTGCACAACTGCCATCTGGGATACATTGCAGAGGTCGCAACCGGGTACCCGATACCCGTACCCTACCCGATACCCGGCTATCCGTACCCGGCCGGGTACGGGTACGGGTAGCCGTTTTCGACCCTGGTGCGGCCGGGTACGGGTACGGGTAAGGAATCAAAACCCGTTTGCGACCTCTGATACATTGCGATGAAATCGTGTTTTACAATTGAACAAGAAAGATATAACAAGCGACGTTTCGGACAGCGGGCCTTATTAACAGCACACGGAGAGGCCAGATAGATAGGTCATGGTCACGGCAAGGCGTATTATACACGTCCTGTAAGTTAGATAAGTTAAATTAAAAAAAACTATCTAATCGTACGGTGGCTTTCCACCGCTGAATGAAGGCCTCTGCAAATCGGGTCGGTCTTGGGGGTTGTTTGACCATACTTCACCACGCTGGTTCAGCGAATGACCTGCCCATTACGGGACATCTGCAGTAACAAAAAAGAAGGGCTTCATAGCTTATCGAATTCTTCCAGTCTAAAGATTCTGATTCTGAACGATTCTGTACTGTGAACCGGTTCAGATGCCGCTGATGTTGGCTCGCGACAGCCGTGGCAGGGAATCGAACCCGGCGCTCACACAAGGTGGTGTAGTGCAAGCGTGCTAGCCCATTGCGCCACGGTGACTAGGAGATGTTCACTACCTCGCCTGGTGTACAGGAGGTCGTGGGTTCGATCCCGACCCTGACGCCTGCTGCTGTATATCTGGAGTTTGCGTGTCTCTCTCATCATCATCATCACGGTGGCTAGGAGATGTTAACTACCTCGCATGGTATACAGGAGGTCGTGGATTCGATGCCGACCCTGACGATGCCTGCTGCTGCTGTATATTTGGAGTTTGCGTGTGTCTCTCTCTCGCCGTGGTCGCGTGGATTTTTCTCCGGGTTCTCCGGGTTTTCCCTTCCACATTTATCATCGACAAGAGGCGTTTATCGAGTGTTTGGCTGCTATAATCTCCACGTGACGATGATAAGCCACTTCGTTGAGCTATCATTTGGGGCCGGGCTCGCTTCTCATAAAAGTGTGCCTCACCTGGCGAAATAGTAGTTTCAGTTTAAAATATCCGCATAGTACTGTACGGTATAATAAAATAATTCTCACGACGTTTCGGCCACAACGCAAGCAGCCGTCCTCAGGTGAAGAATGAAACACCACCAAGCTTGGAGCGTGGTGTTTCATTCTTCACCTGAGGACGGCTGCTTGCGTTGTGGCCGAAACGTCGTGAGAATTATTTTATTATGTTTTATTTTTATTATTTTATTACTTCCCTTCTACGTGACTTTACCGAAAGAACCAAGAAGATGAATCCCTGCAGTCACGAAAGCTTTAAATCGAAAAATACTGTACGGTACTTCGCTGCAAACAACGAATGGAAATTTGCACCGAAGTAGAACTCAAGGCCGGGCGCAAAGGTCTGTTTTATTCCGTCGTTACCTGGCTGAGTCTCAAACGCTGTATTCGGCAAGGGGACGATAACGACAATAACACTCCAACGTTGACAGCAGGACAAACGGCGATGACATGACAGGGTCAAGACTCAGCAGCCAAGGGGATTGAACACGTTCCACTGGAGGGAGATGGAGCGATGAAATCAGCCCCGTGCCGAGTGCGCAGGTGCTAGGTGCGGGGAGCGCCACAGGAAACCGGCCACCCGAGTTCGATCCCAGCTCGCGGTCAAACACCACCGGTGACGATTATCTGAACCGGTTGTGGGTCGCCATCTAGGTCGACTCAGTCTCAAATGAGTACTCGGTGGGGTGAGTAGTAAACGTCGCCACGAGGGAGACAAAGGCGGCCGGGCGTGGTGCTGGCCACCCACCTCCTCGTGTGCCGTGCCGGCCTTCATAGATGCTCTCTAACAGCACTTGCCCCTACAGTCTGTTAAGGCTATATGTTTTTTTTAAATCCTTTATATTAAGTTCGCATGCTTGCTTGCTTGCGTGCTTGCTTGCTTGCGTGCTTGCGTGCTTGCTTACGACCGTGCAAATCTTTCGGTCGTTTTTTAACCCACTTCCCGTGATCCAATCGAGCTGACATTTTGCACACAGACTCGTTGTGCGTGACAATTAATTTTCGTGAAGCAATTTTTCTAAAATTTTACACTGTTTAGGGAATTTTTTTTAAATATTTAATTACCAATTGCTTAATGGTGGCAGACAATCATCTGACCCATAGGTGGCAGCCATCTCAAGCCAGAGGACGAGAGGACTCTAGCCGCCCGTTTCATGATGACGCAAATGTTGACTAACCACATGGCGTGAAATCCTTGCCCCCACGCTGTACAGTGGAGACTATTTATAGAGCAGTTAAATTGAAGCCGCCAGGTTCTTGAAAGTGGTAAAACGGGTCAACGCTAGTGCCCTCGGGATTATACGGGGCATGTCAAGAGGTGATCTTACATATAAAGGACTTATAGTGAAAAACTTTGTTTTTACGGGTTAATTTTTTTTGTCTTTAGTGTGGGATCATTAATTGCATCGTGAGAGGATCGTGAGAGGTAGCGACTGACGGCTTGGGGAAGCCTTCATCTTGCAGTTGATTGACGGTGGCTTAGCGATGATGATGGTGGTGGTGATGGTGACTGCAAGATTCACTCAAAGATCCATCAGAAGTGATTTAATCCGGCAATTGCTGCCATTTGGGTCGTACTTCTTCAGGAAAGAACGTCACCTTCTCGCCAAATTTTGTAATTTTATTGTGACCGCAAAGGCCAGCGTGTTTGATGTTCTCCCGGCTAATTGCAGGCTCTGTATTTTCATTGTGTAATCTGTCTCCTGTCAAAGGGGGGAGACGGGGGTGGAGGGGAACACGTGGTGGATTAGAGAATATGCACAGGTTGTATTATGTACGTTGAACTTCTTTCGCACCGTACGTAGCCAACCGTGCTAATCGGAGGTGCGGGGGAAGGACAACAAACTATGGGTCTCTGTGTGAGTCTATGTGTCTCTGTGTGAGTCTATGTGTCTCTGTGTGAGTCTATGTGTCTCTGTGGGAGTTTATGGGTCTCTGTGTGAGTCTATGTGTCTCTGTGTGAGTCTATGTGTCTCTGTGGGAGTTTATGGGTCTCTGTGTGAGTCTATGGGTCTCTGTGTGAGTCTATGGGTCTCTGTGTGAGTCTATGGGTCTCTGTGTGAGTCTATGGGTCTCTGTGTGAGTCTATGGGTCTCTGTGTGAGTCTATGGGTCTCTGTGTGAGTCTATGGGTCTCTGTGTGAGTCTATGGGTCTCTGTGTGAGTCTATAGGTCTCTGTGTGAGTCTATGGGTCTCTGTGTGAGTCTATGGGTCTCTCTGTGAGTCTATGTGTCTCTCTATGAGTCTATGGGTCTCTGTGTGAGTCTATGGGTCTCTGTGTGAGTCTAAGGTTCTCTGTGTGAGTCTATGGGTCTCTGTGTGAGTCTATGGGTCTCTGTGTGAGTCTATGTGTCTCTGTGTGAGTCTATGTGTCTCTGTGTGAGTCTATGTGTCTCTCTGTGAGTCTATGTGTCTCTGTGTGAGTCTATGGGTCTCTGTGTGAGTCTATGGGTCTCTGTGTGAGTCTATGGGTCTCTGTGTGAGTCTATGGGTCTCTGTGTGAGTCTATGGGTCTCTGTGTGAGTCTATGGGTCTCTGTGTGTGGAGTCTATGGGTCTCTGTGTGAGTCTATGTGTCTCTGTGTGAGTCTATGGGTCTCTGTGTGAGTCTATGGGTCTCTGTGTGAGTCTATGTGTCTCTGTGTGAGTCTATGGGTCTCTGTGTGAGTCTATGGGTCTCTGTGTGAGTCTATGTGTCTCTGTGTGAGTCTATGGGTCTCTGTGTGAGTCTATGGGTCTCTGTGTGAGTCTATGTGTCTCTGTGTGAGTCTATGGGTCTCTGTGTGAGTCTATGGGGTCTCTGTGTGAGTCTATGGGTCTCTGTGTGAGTCTATGGGTCTCTGTGTGAGTCTATGGGTCTCTGTGTGAGTCTAGGTCTCTGTGTGAGTCTATGGGTCTCTGTGTGAGTCTACGGGTCTCTGTGTGAGTCTACGGGTCTCTGTGTGAGTCTATGGGTCTCTGTGTGAGTCTATGGGTCTCTGTGTGAGTCTATGGGTCTCTGTGTGAGTCTATGGGTCTCTGTGTGAGTCTATGTGTCTCTGTGTGAGTCTATGGGTCTCTGTGTGAGTCTATGGGTCTCTGTGTGAGTCTATGTGTCTCTGTGTGAGTCTATGTGTCTCTGTGTGAGTCTATGGGTCTCTGTGTGAGTCTATGTGTCTCTGTGTGAGTCTATGTGTCTCTGTGTGAGTCTATGGGTCTCTGTGTGAGTCTATGGGTCTCTGTGTGAGTCTATGGATCTCTGTGTGAGTCTATGGTCTCTGTGTGAGTCTATGGGTCTCTGTGTGAGTCTACGGGTCTCTGTGTGAGTCTACGGGTCTCTGTGTGAGTCTACGGGTCTCTGTGTGAGTCTATGGGTCTCTGTGTGAGTCTATGGGTCTCTGTGTGAGTCTATGGGTCTCTGTGTGAGTCTATGGGTCTCTGTGGGAGTTTAGGGGTCTCTGTGTGAGTCTATGTGTCTCTGTGTGAGTCTATGGGTCTCTCTGTGAGTCTATGGGTCTCTGTGAGTCTGTTGGTCTCTGTGTGAGTCTATGGGTCTCTGTGAGTCTGTTGGTCTCTGTGTGAGTCTATGGGTCTCTGTGTGAGTCTGTTGGTCTCTGTGTGAGTCTATGGGTCTCTGTGTGAGTTTGTTGGTCTGTGTGTGAGTCTATGGGTCTGTGTGTGAGTCTATGGGTTTCTGTGTGAGTCTATGGGTCTCTGTGTGAGTCTATGTGTCTCTGTGTGAGTCTATGGGTCTCTGTGTGAGTCTATGGGTCTCTGTGTGAGTCTATGGGTCTCTGTGTGAGTCTATGGGTCTCTGCGTGAGTCTATGGGTCTCTGTGTGATTCTATGTGTCTCTGTGTGAGTCTATGGGTCTCTGTGTGAGTCTATGGGTCTCTGTGTGAGTCTATGGGTCTCTGTGTGAGTCTATGTGTCTCTGTGTGAGTCTATGGGTCTCTGTGTGAGTCTATGGGTCTCTGTGTGAGTCTATGGGTCGCTGTGTGAGTCTATGGGTCTCTGTGTGAGTCTATAGGTCTCTGTGTGAGTCTATGTGTCTCTGTGTGAGTCTATGGGTCTCTGTGTGAGTCTATGGGTCTCTGTGTGAGTCTATGTGTCTCTGTGTGAGTCTATATGTCTCTGTGTGAGTCTATGTGTCTGTGTGTGAGTCTATGTGTCTCTGTGTGAGTCTATATGTCTCTGTGTGAGTCTATGTGTCTCTGTGTGAGTCTATGTGTCTCTGTGGGAGTTTATGGGTCTCTGTGTGAGTCTATGGGTCTCTGTGTGAGTCGATGGGTCTCTATGTGAGTCTATTATGTCTCTGTGTGAGTCTATGGGTCTCTGTGTGAGTCTATGTGTCTCTGTGTGAGTCTATGGGTCTCTGTGTGAGTCTATGTGTCTCTGTGGGAGTCTATGGGTCTCTGTGTGAGTCTATGGGTCTCTGTGTGAGTCTATGGGTCTCTGTGTGAGTCTATGGGTCTCTGTGTGAGTCTATGGGTCTCTGTGTGAGTCTGTTGGTCTCTGTGTGAGTCTATGGGTCTCTGTGTGAGCCTATGGGTCTCTGTGTGAGTCGCTGGGTTTCTGTGTGAGTCTATGGGTCTCTGTGTAAGTCTACGGGTCTCTGTGTGAGTCTATGGGTCTCTGAGTCTGTGTGTGAGTCTACGGGTCTCTGTGTGAGTCTATGGGTTTCTGAGTCTGTGTGTGAGTCTACGGGTCTCTGTGTGAGTCTGTTGGTCTCTGTGTGAGTCTATGGGTCTCTGTGTGAGTCTATGGGTCTCTGTGTGAGTCTATGGGTCTCTGTGTGAGTATATGGGTCTCTGTGTGAGTCTATGTGTCTCTGTGTGAGTCTATGGGTCTCTGTGTGAGTCTACGTGCCTCTGTGTGAGTCTATGGGTCTCTGTGTAAGTCTATAGTTCTTTGTGTGAGTCTATGGGTCTCTGTGTGAGTCTATGGGTCTCTGTGTGAGTCTATGGGTCTCTGGGTGAGTCTATGGGTCTCTGTGTGAGTCTATGGGTCTCTGTGTGAGTCGACGGGTCTCTGTGTGAGTCTATGGGTCTCTGTGTGAGTCTCTGTGTCTCTGTGTGAGTCTATGGGTCTCTGTGTGAGTCTATGTGCCTCTGTGTGAGTCTATGGGTCTCTGTGTAAGTCTATAGTTCTCTGTGTGAGTCTATGGGTCTCTGTGTGAGTCTATGGGTCTCTGGGTGAGTCTATGGGTCTCTGTGTGAGTCTATGGGTCTCTGGATGAGTCTATGTGTCTCTGTGTGAGTCTATGGGTCTCTGGATGAGTCTATGTGTCTCTGTGTGAGTCTATGGGTCTCTGTGTGAGTCTATGGGTCTCTGTGTGAGTCTATGGGTCTCTGTGTGAGGCTATGTATGTATGTATTTTGAACTTCTTTCGCACCGCACGTAGCCAACCGTGCTAATCGGAGGTGCGGATATATTAGGCCCACCAGATTATATGTCCGCGCCTATATGCTCCGTACCGTCATCAACCCACGCTGACCAGCGTGGTGAAGTATGATCAATTAACCCCATGCCACCAGCATGGCATGGGGAGGCCCTCACCCGGCAGTGTATTGACTGTGGGCTGTGCAGCGTATACAGCGATGTATACGGCGCTGCGGTTAATCCGTGTACTGGCCTGTTGCTGGCATCATACACATTTCAGGCCCCCCACATTTCCAGCTAAGCGGATTTTAGGCCCACCAGATTTCCAACTCACCGGATCTCAGGCCCACCAGACTTCAAGCTCACCAGGCAGCAGCATCAGCGAGGTTTGGTGTGGGAGCCTCGGTTCCCGATGAAGTTATCTTACTTCAGTTGTTCTTCCGATCACGTTCCGATGACGCACACACGTACGCCATCGGAACGGGAGATCGTTTCGTAAATTATCTCCACCACCAAGGAGGAGATGGAGCAATGAAATCTGGTCGTGTGCCGGCGCAAGGTGAGTTATGATCAGTTTAACACGTAGGCTGTCGCGACCACTACGAATTATTATGGGTTACGATGTCGCAGGATCGTGAGAGGTGGACGTCAGTGGCCCATGGGGAGGCCTTCATCCAGCAGTGGCTTGACCGTGGCTGCTGCTGATGAGTTTGTCTCTTAATTGCACGTCACGTTAAACGTGCGTCGTTGCGTGCTAAATGTGCACTTGAGATTTTTTTTAAAAATCCCGAATGTAGACTTGAGATTAATAAATCCACGTTGTCTTTTCCCGATTCCCTCTCCCCCAAAACAACAGCGTGCAGGAGAAGAGAAAGTCCAGAAGGTAATTCATTCATTCAATCACTCATTGCCTTCAAGCACTACATTTTTTAAACCATGTGACCACACATCCCATTGAGGGCAGAAGTTTCCTTTTCGAACTACTGCAGCGGTTTACATAGAGACCCACAGATGTACACAGAGACCCACGTATAGAGACACATACACTCCTGGATATTCTTGGAACTTAACAGACTTGAACAGACACTTTATTGACTTAGGTAGAGATCTATACAAGCTCTAGATGTGAAGCTTTCGTGACTGCAAGGATTCATACTCTTAGTTCTTTCGGTAAAGTCACGTAGGAAAAAAATGAAATTACAAATATTTTATTACTTAATTTTTCATACATTTTAATTTCATTTTTTACCTACGTGACTTTACCGAAAGAACTAAGAGTATCTATAGAAGCGCACAGAGACCCGTAGGCGTACACACAGAGACCTGCAGCAGTTTTGTCAAGGTCACATTTCATTAATTAGTGTTCAAAATGGTAAATTAATGATTGTGTTGGGATGAGGAGTTGAATATTAAAATCGGCTTCTGCCCTTGCCCATGCCCTCGCTGCCCCATTAACTGGCGGGCCATGCCCTTGTCAAGCACCCAGTCCCACCGCCGTGCCCCGGCCACAATTGCCCCCTTCTGCCTGGGCCCTCAATGCCCTCATCCTTTGCTTTGTCTCTCACTGTCTCCCCTCACTCAACACGAGCCCTCAACTCCAAATACTAACCCTAAGCCTCACTCCGAAGCCTCACTCCTAACCCTCACCCTCACTCCTAACTCTCACACCCAATCCTAACCCTGACTCCTAACCTTTAACTATAATCCACACTCCGAACCTTAACTCCCAATCCAAACCATCACCTCTAACTCGAACCCTCACTCCCAATCCTAACCCTCACCCTCACTCCTAAGCCTCACTCCTAAGCCTCACTCCTAACCCTCACCCCGAACCCTGACTCCCAATCCTAACCCTCACCCTCACTCCTAACCTTCACTCCTAACCCTGACTCCCAATCCTAACCCTCAACCTCACTCCTAACTCTCACACCCAACCCTAACCCTGACTCCTAACCTTTAACTATAATCCACACTCCGAACCTTAACTCCCAATCCTAACCCTCACCTACTCTAACTCGAACCCTCACTCCCAATCCTAACCCTCACCCTCACTCCTAACCCTGACTCCCAATCCTAATCCTGACACCTAACCTTAACTATAATCCACACTCCAAACCTTACCTCTTCGTCGATAATGCTAACTAACCCTCAATAACCTCTCACTCTCAGTCTTAACCCTGACACCCATAAATGTTGCTGCCACTTTGTCTCCATCCTTGTAACCTGCCTCCCTCACTCCCTTGCTGGCGACCGACCGACAGGAGACAGCTTCGTGGTGAACGCTTACGCCAACCGGCGTGGATTGGAAGAGGTGACTGCGAGTGTCCTTCCCCCGGCGTACCGGGTAAGCACACGTACGCGCACGCTCGGAATCCGGGAGACAGAAATCTGGTGGAGGGGATAAATCCAGGGACTGGTCGTCTAAGGGGCTGGATACCTAGGAGGCAAATATCTGGTGGGCGAATATCTGGTGGGCCTGAAATGCAGGGCCTGAAAATCCAGGGGGCCAGAAAATGCAGTGGTAAAATGTTTGGTGGGCCCTGAAATCTGTTGGGTGGGAAATCTGGTGGGCCAGAAATCTGGTTATCTGGAAATCTGGTCGGTCAGAAATCCGATGAGCTTGAAATCTGGTTCACTGGAAATGTGGTGGGCCTGAAATCTGGTTAGCTGGAAATCTGGTGGGTCAGAAATCTGGTGGGCCTGAAATCTGGTTCACTGGAAATCTGGTGGGTCAGAAATCTGGTTAGCTGGAAATCTGGTGGGTCAGAAATCTGGTGGGCCTGAAATCTGGTTCACTGGAAATCTGGTGGGACTTAAATCTGATTATTTCTAAATCCAAAGAGGCGGGTATACGTGGGCAGTTCCACAAATCCAGCGATGTCACTATTAACATTTCCTAATCATAATAATGATAAATATGGGGCACCATTTAGGATGTAACTATGTTTATCTATACAGACCTTGATCAGTCCACTGCTGGATGAGGACCTCCTTCTACGGAGAAAGCCACCAATAGCAAGAAATGTTAACACACCACCGTGCCACCGTGTCGAGATGTTAACTACCTCATTTGGTGTACAGGAGGTCGTGGGTTCGATCCCGACCCTGACGCCTGCTGCTGCTGTATATTTGTAGTTTTACTCCGGGTCCTCCGGTTTCTCCCTCCACATTTAGAATCAACGTCGCGCGTTCAGAGCGTTTAGCTGCTGCACATTCCCACGCGATGACGACGATGTTGATGGTGATAAGCCACTTCGTTGGGCTATCGTTCGCGATAGCCAAGTCGCTTCTGAATAAAGATCTGCGCAGCTCAGTGGGGCCTTGCCTGGTAAGATTTCAAAACAAGCAACGCAACTTCGCACTCAAGCCTCGTTCACGTGGGGGTCATCATTACGAGCGGGTTGCTGCTGACCCTCCCTCCAACCACCACCACCCGCGCGTCGCAAGGCGCGATGGGAGTCGTCGCCTTCCTGCCGGCTTTGTGAGCGGCATCAAGCGCAGCTGGGCGAGTGGTCGAACCCGTGCGAGTCTCGCCTGCCCGACGCATCCCTCCCGCACTGAAAGGGGGTTTCTCTTCGCGCGCAGACGTAGAATCTCGTTCGCGGCGTACGTAGCCGACCGTGCCGATCTTCGCGCGCGCAGAAGGGGGGAAGGGGCGCGGGGAGTTTGGCTTTCGGTCGCTTTGCCTTCAACCTGAGTTGGAAAGCGTTGCGCGTAATTACGCATTTTGCCGGCGTAGGCTCTTGGCTCGGGGGGGGGGGAGGGGGCATGTCAGCAACGGGAGTCGAAGACGCTTTTGTGTTGTTCCTGCAACTCCTTTCCTCGGCGTCGCCGCGCTTGTGAAGATGCACGCGGAAGGGCAGGCGGCGGCGGCACAAGCATTGAAAGTGCGGCAGAGCGTCGTGCGGTCATGACTGATGGAGACCGCTGGCTCCTGGGGGAATTCGAGAAAAGCCCCGAAACCCCCCACCCACCAACCCCCCCACCACCCCCCCACCAACCCCCCCACAAACCCCCCCACCACAAACCCCCCCCCCCCCCCATCAGCCCCCAACCCACGGCAACCACAGCCCGGGGGGGGGGCCTGGGAGAGCGAGTAGGAACTCCCCCCCCCGACCTCCCCCCCACCATCGACCTCCCCCCCACCACCCATCTCCCCCCACCTCCACCACGTGACTCGACGTCACCCGTGCCTGTGCCCTGCCCTTAACCTCCCGCCCGCCCGCCCATCACAGATGTCTCGGTGCCGTTATAGTCCGTTATCAGTCTCTTTGGTTGACTGCAGAATAATCGTTACCGTCTCTTTGGTTGACTGCAGAATAATCGTTACCATCTCTTTGGTTGACTGCATAATAATCGTTACCATCTCTTTGGTTGACTGCAGAATAGTCGTTACCATCTCTTTGGTTGACTGCAGAATAATCGTTACCATCTCTTTGGTTGACTGCAGAATAATCGTTGCCATCTCTTTGGTTGACTGCATAATAATCGTTACCATCTCTTTGGTTGACTGCAGAATAGTCGTTACCATCTCTTTGGTTGACTGCAGAATAATCGTTACCATCTCTTTGGTTGACTGCAGAATAATCGTTACCATCTCTTTGGTTGACTGCATAATAATCGTTACCATCTCTTTGGTTGACTGCAGAATAGTCGTTACCATCTCTTTGGTTGACTGCAGAATAATCGTTGCCATCTCTTTGGTTGACTGCAGAATAATCGTTGCCATCTCTTTGGTTGACTGCAGAATAATCGTTACCATTCTTTGGTTGACTGCAGAATAATCGTTACCATCTCTTTGGTTGACTGCAGAATAATCGTTACCATCGCTTTGGTTGACTGCAGAATAGTCGTTACCATCTCTTTGGTTGACTGCAGAATAATCGTTACCATCTCTTTGGTTGACTGCAGAATAATCGTTATCATCCTCGCAGCGGCAGCGGCGGCGGCTTTCGGCAGGCCATCGACCAACACTATACACTACACTATACACTACTACTACTATACACTACACTATACACTACACTATACACTATACTATACACTACACTATACACTACACTATACACTACTACTATACACTACTAATATACACTATACTATACACTACTACTATACAATATACACTACACTATACACTACTACTATACACTACACTATACACTATACTATACACTACTACACTACACTATACACTACACTATACACTACTACTATACACTACACTATACACTACACTATACACTACACACTACTACTATACTACTATTATACAATACTATACTACTATATACTACACTATACACTACACTATACACTACTATACTACTACTATACACTACACTATACACTACTATAAACTACACTATACACTACTTTACACTACACTATACACTACTACTATACACTACTATACTACTATTATACACTACACTATACACTACTATACACTACACTATACACTACACTATACACTACTACTATACTACTACTATACACTACACTATACACTACACACTACTACTATACTACTATTATACACTACTACTATACACTACACTACACACTACTACTATACTACTACTACTATACACTGCACTACTATACACTATTATACTACTACTATACACTACACTACACACTACTACTATACTACTACTACTATACACTACACTATACACTACTATACACAACACTATACACTACTACTATACATTTCGATTTAAAGCTTTCGTGACTGCAGGGATTCATCTTCTTGTTTCTTTCGGTAAAGTCACGTAGAAGGGAAGTAATAAAATAATAAAAATAAAACATAATAAAACAATTCTCACGACGTTTCGGCTACAACGCAAGCAGCCGTCTTCAGGTGAAGACGGCTGCTTGCGTTGTAGCCGAAACGTCGTGAGAATTGTTTTATTATGTTTTATTTTTATTATTTTATTACTTCCCTTCTACGTGACTTTACTACTATACACTACTATACTACTATTATACACTACACTATACACTACTATACTTATACTATACACTACACTATACACTACTATACACTACACTATACACTACTACTATACTACTACTACTGTACACTACTATACACTACACTACTATACACTATACTACTAAATTGAATAATAATTTATTTGGGAAATGCTTTTTGTGTGTTTAGTTTGTTGTCTTTCCCCCTGCACCTCCGATTAGCACGGTTGGCTACGTACGGTGCTAAAGAAGTTCCTATACGCACACGTACACACACACGTACACACACACGTACACACACACGTACACACGTCTCGTGCATAAACCACCATGCACACTCCGGCGTCATCCTCGCAGCGACGGTGTTGTGGCCGCTCGCCATCAAACAAAGGCGGCGGCGGTCACCGCATCATCGTCGCGCGGCGCTTTCAGGTTGCGCTTCCGCGGCCGTCTGGAACGTTCTTCCCGTCCGATGTCAGGAAGCCCCTGGGAGCTGTGCACTTTTAAATCGTATGGATTGACAAAATCACTTCTTTAGAATAGCTTTTCGCGTTAAGTGTCGTTGTGTTTCGCCCCGCACCTCCGATTAGCGCGGCTGGCTACGTACGGCGCGAAAGAAGTTCAACGTCCACACGTGGGTACTTTCTAGATTTGAAGTTTTCGTGACGGCAAGGATCCATACGCTTTGGTTCTTTCGGTAAAGTCACGTAGGTGAAAATAAAAATAAGAATAAAAGAAATAGAAATAACTAAATTAAATCACGACATTTCGATCGCAACACAAGCAATCGTCATCAGGTGTGAAACTCAACTGATTGCTTGTGTTGCGGTCGAAACGTCGTGATTTAATTAAGTTATTTCTATTTTTTTATATATTTTTTTAAATTTTTATTCATTTTTTATTTTCACCTACGTGACTTTACCGAAAGAACCAAGGAGTTCACGTGGGTGCGTTCATGTTCGGAATGAGTCCAGATCTTCCTCCTCGTCATCCGTCGGGCGCCCGGCGTTTCTCCACGGTGCGTTCATCCTCCTGAGCGATCAATTGTGATGACCGGGTCGCTTCTGACAAACAAGTCCATATCCTCGGTGGGGCTTTGCTTGGTCGGATGCGGATGGTTTCGTGTTGTGTTTGTGTTCGTGTGATTTGTTGACCTTTCTTGTACTTTGCACGGCTGTCGTGTTTTTGTGTCGTCTGTTGTTGTAGCGTTCTTGCCCGCCCCTACTGGGCATCTGTGACAAAGCGCTTAATAGCTCATTGGATTCCTCCTGCAGCCTAAATTAATAAGCCCCAAACCCTTCCGTACTGCGCTCTGCCTCCCGTTCTTAACTAAAACAATTAAAACTATTTAGATTTTACCAGGAA